TCTGTCTAAATGCATTTATGACTTCAAGAACATTTTTTATTTGCAATGTAGCATCCTGAAATTTATGTTGGATTAGTTTCCTTACTTCTCATATTGTTATTGTACATGAACACTTGTTTCAATGTTTACCCTCGCGTGCCCTTTCGATAAAGAAAGCAATATGACTAACTACGTGTATGTAATATAGAGGCAAGGGACTGGGATTACACCAAAAGTACGCAGCACAACGTCTCGCTTCGTAGCCACCTTTGTAGGCTACCCGCTTGTCGACCACACGAATCCGAACATGCGCAATGTAAAACGATGTGAGTAGTCTGCGTCGCTCTCGGCAGACCGGCCGAACGATTTCTGTGAGTCTCTCAGACGACTTTCGTATATATGCTGTCTTTTATTTACGATGCTGTCTGCATCCTGACTACATAGCGTCGAATGGTAGGACAATTTATGAAATGTGAAATGTAAGGGGGTTGAAAGGAAGCGTTCGTGGTTAAATCGAGGCTTTACCGGGCATTTGCCTTGAGGACTGATAAAACTGTGAAAACCTGCCAGGAGGGCCGGTATCCTGATGGTGATTTGAAGCGAGCACCTCATGATTACAAGCTTACAGTGTTGTCGCCAAACCTAAATAATATGTAGGATGATACTAAAACGTATCATACATTGCGAGGGAACAGAGTGGACAAATGGCTTAGGATAGGGTAGAACGGCAAGCCTTAGTGAGAACGGCTATGTATTTTCGCATTTCATAAAATCAGGAATTATTCGACTAGCTAGCTATAACGTTCCAAAGAAAACTGCAGCGCACTGAATGAGTGGGTTAGTTAGTTAGTTTGTCAGTCAGTCAGTCAGTCAGTCAGTCAGTCCATGCAACCAGTATTCGTCATATGGCCTTTGTAACTTGACTTGTTATACCAGTTTATAGGGCAGTACAATACTGTGTCATTCTGACGAAATTAATTTCCGTCTGCGAATGTAATACATCCCCAGATTAATATAAACATTTTTTTTCCCCTTTGGCACTACAGCCCCAGTGGGCCTAGGCCTACCTCCATGAACTTCTCCGTTCACTTCAGTTTTTCTAGATCTTACACATTCGGTAGGACTCCTTGGGCGGGTGATCTGCTCGTCGCAAGGCCTCTACCTGTACACAAACACAGAGAAACGCATACACACAAACTAAACAGCCATACCTTGAGTGCGATTCGAACCCACGATCCCGGTTTCCAAGTAAGCGAAGACAGTACGTGCCTCAGACCGTTCGGCTACCGTGACCGGCCAATATAAACATATAACTGGAAGTAACTCGGAAAACGTGTGTCCTTCTTCAGAGGGTCAGTACAAGATAACTCGCTTTTTGGTAAAACCCAAATGTGCATGGATACGAAAACATAAAGGTCATTTAAATGACTACTGAAGTCGAAATCAAATAAGATGGTGGACGTGTGACGCTGGTTCTGCATCCAGACAGCGTATGTCTGATTGCTTACTGCCATGTATTCATTCAAAGGAAACTTTCCTTAGAGAATGACATGTTTCGCAGATGGTGGCAAACGTAAGCACTTTCGAGGGGGATGGGCCGTACCGATCGCGAAGCTTGTGATTACTCTCATCACATAACAGTAACATGGTGAACATCCGTAAATTTGTATCACTTTCGTACAAAGATCGGAAGAGGTATAAGGAGCCCTATAATATGCGAAGAATAAGGGAGGAAATGAAGACGTTCGGTAGACACTCCGTTTCCATATTCTTGTGAGGCTCAGGGGATTCCCTTATGTTCGAAAAAAACTGTACCTAATACATGCTTCAAATTCTCCTTTCCATAGAAAAATGTATATTCGCCTGTTGATTCGATGCCACTTCCATCCCATCTGACCTCCTTTGTTTCCACCAAATCTAACTTATATTCTGAGATTCTTCCGGCACTGTCCTAAGCGAACCAGCTCTATACATATTTTTGACTCTCCAAGTACCAAATCTCATATCCATTTTCTTTCGCTTAGGTCATTTATCCAAAGGATCCGTTGCGATTTTTCGTAACAAGTTTATTTTTTATGGTGAGGAGTTGTTGGCCTCCCGCCCAACCCCAAGGCTGGAGGACCACCCTTGTCGGCTATCCGTGACTGCTTATTCAATATATTCGCAGCTACCTTCCATATCTGGAGGCCGTCTCCTCCATCCGCAACCTGAGGACGCGCCATGCCTTGGTGAGAGATAGGACGGGATAATATGGATTAGACTGATCTGGCTCAGGATAGAGACCAGGGGATGGCTCTTGTGAACAAAGTAATGGACCTTCGGGTTCCATAAAATCCTGGGAAGTTTTTGAGTGGCTGTACAATTGGCGGCTTCTCAAGAAGAGCTCAGCCCCGTGAGTGGGTGGGTGAGAGAGAGGCTCAAGCGAGGCTTGGGATGAATCACAAATTAAGTAACACCCATTACTTGGCATTGAAAAAAATGGGTCTAGGTGCATGGATGTGTGGGTGAGGGACGGTGTATACTGCGGATGGGAACGGGGAGAGAAGGGGAAGAGAAGCACGACAATTGCCGGTGTTGTTATATGATGGGTTCATGTAAAAGTCAAATATCACGCACAATGCCTATTCTCCTCAGTGCCAGACCGAGAGTTCCCGGAACGCGGCCACACGACACAGCACGATACCTCGAAGAATGGATGAATAAAATATGATACACTCCGTAACAGGGTTATGCTGGGGGCTCTCTGGCTTTCTTTGCCAGCTACGAAGAATAAAGGGGGGAGGGGGTGGACAAAAGAATGAGAAGAGAAATATGTACTGTATTGCGAAATAGGCCTACACAGTGTTTACAGATCAATCTCTGCTGTGTTACATTCCTCACTGGTCTCGATTTCTTTGTTGCAGATCCGCAGCTATTACAGGCAGAAAGAAAAACATCAGAGATTATTACTCGTACATATTTTTTTTTCTGTGGCGCTACAGCCCCAATTTGGGCCTAGGCCTACCTCCATGAAACTCTCCGTTTCACTTCGGTTTACTAGATCTTACACATTCGGTAGGACTCCTTGGGCGAGTGATCAGCTCGTCGC